CTCAGCAGCCTGGAGGCCGTTTTGTGGCCATACATGCACTTATCGATGTTTGCCAGCGAACGAGTTCGGCCTCCACTGATTTATGCCCCGGCCTATTCAGCCCAGTGTGGCGGAGCGAATCCGGGTCCAGTCGGTCCACCGCACTCACGCACACCCACCACGCACTCTCACACGCACTCTCACACGCACACGCGCGCGCTCACACACACACACACACACACACACACACACACACACACAAGGCCACAAAGGGAAGGCGAGCGCGAAGGACGCCTTCCGTGATGTATGGTGTATCATGTCGCGGTGGAGGCCAACAAAGGGGGACGGCGCGAAAGCAAGGCGAGAGCAGAGCGAAAGCCTGTTCTGTCCCGGCCGATCCCGAATTCCGAGAAACGAATTCAAGAACTGCTTACGCTTTTAGACCGGCCACTGATACACCTCGATAGGGGACTCCTCCGCGCCTGCCGGGCAAGCAGCTGTAGGGGGAAATAGGAGGGAATTGTCGCTGGGCGCGGAGCTGCGTGGAGCTGCGTGGAGCTGCGTGGAGCTGCGTGGAGCTGCGTGGAGCTGCGTGGAGCTGCGTGGAGCTGCGTGGAGCTGCGTGGAGCTGCGTGGAGCTGCGTGGAGCTGCGTGGAGCTGCGTGGAGCTGCGTGGAGCTGCGTGGAGCTGCGTGGAGCTGCGTGGAGCTGCGTGGAGCTGCGTGGAGCTGCGTGGAGCTGCGTGACGGGAGCTGCGTGGAGCTGCGTGGAGCTGCGTGGAGCTGCGTGGAGCTGCGTGGAGCTGCGTGGAGCTGCGTGGAGCTGCGTGGAGCTGCGTGGAGCTGCGTGGAGCTGCGTGGAGCTGCGTGGAGCTGCGTGGAGCTGCGTGGAGCTGCGTGGAGCTGCGTGGAGCTGCGTGGAGCTGCGTGGAGCTGCGTGGAGCTGCGTGGAGCTGCGTGGAGCTGCGTGGAGCTGCGTGGAGCTGCGTGGAGCTGCGTGGAGCTGCGTGGAGCTGCGTGGAGCTGCGTGGAGCTGCGTGGAGCTGCGTGGAGCTGCGTGGAGCTGCGTGGAGCTGCGTGGAGCTGCGTGGAGCTGCGTGGAGCTGCGTGAGCTGCGTGGAGCTGCGTGGAGCTGCGTGGAGCTGCGTGGAGCTGCGTGGAGCTGCGTGGAGCTGCGTGGAGCTGCGTGGAGCTGCGTGGAGCTGCGTGGAGCTGCGTGGAGCTGCGTGGAGCTGCGTGGAGCTGCGTGGAGCTGCGCGAAGCGGGGGCGGTGCAGAAGTGCCGGAATGGGGCCGTGGCTTGGGCCGTGGTGAGGCGGTGGGGCCCACTGCCGCTGCGGCCCCACGGAGGCCCCCGAAGGCCCCACGGAGGCCGCACGGCTGTTACGCACCAATTGCTCGGAAAAAATGGTCGTCTCGGCGCGCGATGACGGCTGTTACAGGCCGCAGACTATCGCGGCCCAGTTATAGAGGCCGCCGCCAACCCACAGCGATCCAAGAATCGTTAGGTCGCACTCTGTCTCTCTCGCACCCCTACGGGACGCCCATGGGTGCGAGAGAGACAGAGCGACGAAAAGGACTCTCGGAATGAGGGAAGTCCGGGGAAGTCCAAATAGTTGCATCGCGTGGCTCGCATGGCGTAGTGCGACAATGGGCAGAGGGCTGCGGTCGAGTGTCGAGCGGCGTCGAAGCGCCTCGGCCCACCTTGCCTCGGCCCACCTTGCCTCGGCCCCTTGGGCTGCGCGGACCACTGCGACTTTCATTTTATCCATGCTGGACCCTGCGTTACGCAGGCCGGAGTTTTGTTGATATGCATTAGTAGCTTAGAGAGTCCTGTCCATATTCGGGCACGCCCCACCAACGCCACTGACCCATGGCAGACTTAGCGAAATATAAAGCTGGAATCCCGTGCGTTGCAGCATGCTAGTAATGGGCTGCGCACAGCGCACCGATCCACTCACTCTCTCTCTCTCTCACGCGGACGCAGTTCGGGGCACCGCGACCCTCACAGAGCCGTTTAAACATTCAAATGTGCCAATCCCGCGCGCGGGTCTACCGTCCCTCGACCGTCCTGTTTCGTCACCACTCTAATCTCAGCCGCGGTCCCGCCGCCCCGCCCCGCCCCGGAGAACGAATTTGCCTTCTGCCAAGCCTGCTTCCGGCCGCGTCATCAGGCGGACGGCCACCCCGCCTCGCCTCGCCCCACCCCGCCCCGCCCCGCCCCGTCATCAAATTTTTACATGCCGCTTTTAGCGAGGCCGCAAACCCAAGGTCAGAGGGCTGCTGCCGCTGCTGCCGCCCAAAAGGGCGGAGAGGATGATGAATCGTGTTGGCGAGTCCATCTGCAGCTGCCTGGCACTCGGCGCCCTCGGCGGCCGGATGTCCAAAGTCGAGAGGAGCGTGCCTCGGGACCAGAGGGGGGGCATTGTAATCGTCATGGCGAGGAGGGGCAGGGCAGGGCAGGGCGGGGCTGGGGCTGCAGGGCACGGCGCGCGGAAATCCATGAATACCGAAGCGCAAAACTCATCCGGTCCGGCGGTGGCCCGCCCCGTGGTCTCCGAAGGGCCGCGCTGTATCTCACGATTAAACCGCGCGCACTGCCCCGTCCGTACCCGTACCGCCCCGTACCGCCCCGTACCCCCGAAATGAACGGCCAGGTCCGCCACCGCGCCGCCACGCCAGCGCACCGCGCGACGCGCTGATGTGCGCGCGACATGGTACGCCCATCCCCTTAACATCCCCGCGGCTCGCGCGGCTCACGCGGCCCCGCGCAGGACGGGGCAGACGGGGGCCTTGGCGGGGACGGCGGGGACGGACGGGGGACGGGACGGGACGGCCCCTGTAACTCGAGGCTCGGGGACGGCTCCCTTGGCCCACTTCGGTCCAGCCTGGCTGCCTGCTGGCTGCCTGGAGCCCCGCATGGCGCGCCTCGGCACGGCGTGGCACGGCACGGCACGGCACGGCACGGCGTGGCACGGCACGGCACGGCACGGCACGGCACGGCACGGCACGGCACGGCACGGCACGGCACGGCACGGCGTGGCACGGCACGGCACGGCACGGCACGGCACGGCACGGCACGGCACGGCACGGCACGGCACGGACGTCCACGCATCATCTCTGTTAGCCGGACGCGCACCACCGCCACACACACACACACACACACACACACACACACACACACACACACACACACACACAAACACACACACACACACACACACACACACACACACACACCAACACAAACACACACACACAAACACACACACACACACACCCTCTGTCTCTCCCGCCTACGCGGTATTATATCATCCCCCCCGCTCTCTTTTTTTCCTGGTGTAGGAGCGGTGGCGCTCGCCGTCGTTGCGCTCTGCCGGCCGCTCCAAGCAGCTCGTTAGGGCGCCGCGACGGCCTCAATCAAACTCTTGTGTCGCGGGGATCCTGGCCCGGCGCGGCGCAAGGCGCGCGAGGCGGAACGGAACTACGGAACCCGAGGCACGCCGCCGAACAAGTGTCCACTCGTCCGTCAACTCGTCCAAGAGAGTCTGACAAGGGAAAACCCACGAAGGGTTTGTTACCTGGCGGAAAAGACATATTTCCTGTCAAAATGTCATGTTCTATTGCGCAAAGAAACGTCTTTGTTGTTTGATCTGTTTTCCTCGTCATGCGAAGAATTTTCGACGACAGTCTTTTAGAGTCAAAGGCAACGGGGGTCGGGGTGAGGGGGGGGGGGAGAATAGTTGCCCAGCGGTCTCATCAAGATTCTCCTCGTTGAGCCCGACGAGGATCGAGTGGTTGATTAGCGGACACTCGATGGTCTTCCCGTCTCACTTCTGATAAAATGGCCACAGAACGCGAGAGAAAGAGAAGAGGGGGTAGAACCCCGCGAAAGATATTTACGGACGGTGAAAGAGAGAGGGAGAGATGTCCCCCCGGGCCCAGCCCCGCGCGCCGCACCCCCACAGAAAAGTCCTCTCCAGCTGAGCAACAAGTTCCCCGTCATGCATCAGGCTGCAAAAGTCGTATCGGGGCGAGCGCCCGGGCAGACGGGCAGCCTAGCACTCTGCAGCTCTGCACCGCGGCGGGCGGAGACGGGGCGGGGGAGAAAAACCAACCCAAGTGGCACTTTACACGACTCGCCGACGAGGGCGGCCGCTCGATCCTTGTACGTGGTGGCTCCGAACCGAGGGCCCTGCAAGTGCTGGCCTGGTTTGGAACGAACTGGGTCACGCCCTGCGCCTTGCACCGTTGTCGTTCTTACGGTGTGCCGTGCCGGCCGCGCCGCGCCACGAGGACCCCAGACGGCCCCGGGCGAGCAGCAAGGTGCAGCTAGCAGCTGCCGATGCGTTAGATGTGAGAGACTGCCAGTGGTGAGGTAACTATTGGCCCGACTCACAGTGGGCTGGGCAAGAAGACCGGCGCGGCGCCGCCGGCCAAAACTCTAAACGCGTTTTGAGCTCTAGAGCTGCTAGAGACAGAAACAAACGTGCGACACCACCAATGGATTCCTCATTCGGAGAGCAATCCATTGGTGGGGTCACTTGTTCATTTTGAGTCATCCCATTCGGCGACTCTCGAGCTCGCAACGTGTCCGGGATTCTGACCGCCGCCACCGGTCTTCTGGCCCACTGTGGGACGCTGCCCCGCGCGCGGGATTCTCGTTGGAGTCCCTGATTCAAAGGCGTCGTCGACTGTGTAGCTGCGACGCTCACGCCCGTCCTCGAGCCGCTGGGTGGCCCCGCGGACACTGGACCCCTGGACCCGGCCGCAACCTTTCCAACGACATTGCGCCGCCCCCGGCCGCCCCCGGCCGCCCCTTCCCGGCCCTGACTGACCCCAAAAAAGAAGTTTGTCCGCGCGGGGGCATTGCAGAACAAACTTGGCCCGGCCCACATAGCCGCTAGGTGCGGAGAGGAGTGCGGGGGCTCCATCCATGGTGTATGTGATCCCGGGCCCCCGCCTCGCAAACAGGACAAAGCAAAAAGTCAGAGATCTAATGCTGCTTCTTCTTCTTTGGCAGTCTCCCGCGACGAGGTGGCCGGCTGGTGGGCGTCGGCCGGCGTGCTGACGCTGGTGCAGGCGCTGGGCATCGCGCTGGTGGCCACGCTGGGCGTGTTCGTCAACGTGCTGTGCGCGCTCATCTGGAGCGGCCGGCCCGCGCTGCGCAGTCACTCGACGCGCTACGTGTACAACATGCTGGCCGCCAACTTGCTGTGCTCCGGCGTGCTGGCGCCCCTCGACGTCACCAGGCTGGTGCTGGCGCCGTTCCCTCCGCCGGCCATGCAGGCGGCCATGCAGGCGGTCCCCGTGGACTCGGGGGAGCTCCTGTGGCCGGGGGCTGCCGTGGCCGCCGCGGCCGCCGCCGCCACCGACGCGCAGGTACGTGCTCTACTTGGTGGCGGTCTGGGGCGGCCAGCAGTGCCAGCAGTGCCAGCACGCCGCGGTGGCGCCTCACTCACTCCATGCTCGCAGGTGACGGACGCCGGCGTGGCGGCGGCCCTGGTGGCCGACGACGGCGTGCACCACGGCGTGTACGGCGGCGTGTGGGCGCGGCCCTGGGACGTGTGGCTGCGCGACGTGACGCGCTTCACGCAGGCCCTGGCCGTGCAGGTGTCCGTCTTCTCCGTGCTGCTGGTGGCTCTGGACCGCCACAAGGCCGTGCTGTCCCCGCTGCACTACCACCGCATGGCCACCCGCCAGCGCTCCACCATCCTCATCGTCTCCAACTGGCTGCTCATCCCCATCATGACCGCCCTCTTCGAGGTCCGCCTCATCCCCTACTCGCAGTGGATCCACTTCGCCTTCGGTGAGTGTCGCGGTTCGAATGCCTCAGGTCTGTTTCGTCGCTCTCTCGCACTACGTGGGGCACGAAAGGCCTGCCCATTCCTCACAGAGTAGCTTCTCCCTTTCTTTCTTACTGCCGCCGCGCGGTTCGCTCCGCCCTGCTCCGCCTGCTCCACCACCTCGAACGGAGAGCCGCCCTGCCCTTGTCCCGGCCCGGCGCCAAACCACATCTGCATATTTATTTCAATGTCAATGCCTGCTCTCGGCTCAGCAGGAAAGATGGAAGAAAAAAAAAGAGGCAGAGAAAAGTTGGTCTGGGCCGCTCTAGCGCGTGCAGAGGGTTACGGTGTGGTTACCGCCCCCGACGGCGGCAGCCCCGGGCAAGGCCCCGGGCCACGGCAAGTAGCCCACTCCTCGCTCCTCGAGGAGACCGGGGGAAACGCAGCGCGTGTGCGACCTGACAGCCTGGCAGCCTGGCAGCTTCCCTTGTTCACACCTTTCTATTCTCTCCCGCTCCCTCCACCTCCGTGCCTCCGGTTCACATCTCATCCGCGGCTCAGCCTCGATCTCGATCGTGCGGAAAGCGCCGCGGTCGCGCCGTATTCCCCTTTCCCATTCAATTTTCTCTTTCCTCTTTTTCTTTTCCTCTTAACGTTCGTTCGACGCACCTCCGTGCAAGACTGAGCTAGCTGTGCGAGCGACTAGCCGCGTCGGCCATGCGTGTCGCTGTTTCTCTCTTGACCCGAGAATGGTTGCGTTTTCCATGGGTTCGCCACGTCACGACAAGACACTTCTGATGCTCTTTGGTGATCGATCTCGCTACTGTAATTTTCCCGCAGGTCATTGCCTTTGCTTGCGCTTTTTTTTAGTCGCTGTTGAATTGTTTGTGTTTTTTTCTTGAATTTCTTTTTCTTTTTATTTCTTGGAAGTTGGCCGTACTTAATCTTGCTCCTCCCCGCCCCCTGCTGCTTATTATCTCGGCCCGGCGCGCTGTCCTACACGCAAACTAGTCCTCGCGTCCGCGCCCCGCGCTCCGTGGAAGCGGAACGGAGTGAAAGTTGCACCGTGCACCTCGCGAATGAGAGCATGGCGGGGCGGAGCGGGGCGGGGCGGGGCGGGGCGGGGCGGGGCGGGGTGTTTCTAGGGATCCTCCCCCTGCGGCGGCTTGTTGTGTGAACTGCTTCACACGAGCAGATTGAGCACCACCTTTTCATGAAAAATTTGCAACTTTTTCTCGCCCCTACACCGCGGGAGTACAGAACGTCGGACATTCTGCCAAGGGGTCAGACGTGCTTGTAGAACATGCATCGGGTAGCTCAGTCTTCCTAGCTGGGCTCGAATCCACGTATCTTTTTGTTTGTAGTTTGTTTTTTAGCAGATGATACCTTTTTTGTTTGTTTGTTTGTAGATGTTCAGCAATAGACTCTCCAAGTAGTCCAAATTTCCCATCCCTTTCAAATGTGTGCTTGCCTGTGAGTGACTGAGTGAGCGAGAGTGTGTGTAAGTGTGTTTGCGTGTGTGTGAGTGTGTTTGCCTCTGAGGTGTGTGTGTGTGTGTGTGTGTGTGTGTGAGTGTTTTAGCAAAGTTTTGAGGAGTTGGCCGTCCTGTGCGCATCGCCGCATCGGTTCGCGCATGTAGGTCATTAGCACGCTGATGCAGGGCTGCAGGGTGACCTGCATACATCACGTCCCGAGGCTGCCGAGGCTGCCGAGGCCCGGGAATCCATGAATAACCCCGGAGAACCGCCGCCGCCGCCAGGACGCCAGACTAGAGCCAGGACGGCTCGCGCTCTGCTCGCTCGGGTTGGCCGCCAGCCCAGCCAGCACGGCGGCGTGCATCCCCTGTGCATCCCCGCCCCGCAGCAGACTCATTCCGAGAGTCGTTTTCGTCGCTCTGTCTCTCTCGCACCCAAACGGGACGCCCCATGAGTGCGAGAGGGACGGAGCGATGAAAACGACTCTTCAGTCTGCAGGGCCTGCCTGCAGCCCTTCGACATGTGCCGGCCCGGCCCGGTTCGTTAGATCGTTATCCGGCCCCGCCGCGCCCCGCCTCGCCTCGGCGCGCCTCGGTGCCAAGAAGCCGTAGGTTATCGCGGCCCCAATGAAAAGCACAAACTCGAGAGTCCAGGCCCCCAGCCTCCAGGCCGCGCGGGTCCACCATGAGCTCATGGGTCCGCCATGGGTCCACGAGGGGCGGCGAGCGCGGCGGCGCGCCAGCCAAGAGACTTTGGCCTCGTTCGGAGAAACACCCAGGCACCTCGCGGCCCCGCCGGGGACGCAGGCAAAATTGGCCTCTGCTGTCTGAAGGCGACGGGTTCGACGTGACTCCGTCGTGGGCACCATGTGTTGTTTTGTCGAGTGTTGAGGGGGCACGGGGCAGAGGCGGTAATCTGGATTGATGCTGACCGAGAGTGTAAAGACCCATGCTTACCGGCTACTCTCGGGTAAGCAGTGCCCGAACGCTAGAGGTCTGCTGAGGCCGGCTGAGGCCTAACAGCGCTGATGATGATGATGATGATGATGATGATGATGATGATGATATGATGATATGACCCTACACCATGGGCACTGTCTTCACTCCAGGCGTCCCGCAGGTCTCGATGGTGGCAGTTTGACTTAAGGTTAGCAGGGAAGGAGGTCGGACGAATTTAAGCCGGTCGGACAAAAAGAAGTCGTACTACAAACGGTGTAGACCCATGGATTGCTCTACGAACGAGGAGTCCATTGGTGGGGACACACTCTCGGTTGCGGAGTCCTATTTAGCGACGCTAGATCTCAAAACGCGTCTAGAGTTTTGGCCGCCGGCACCGGTGTTGGCCCACTGTGCGGTGGATGCAGCAGCCTTGCAGTGCCGGCCCGCCTGGCCCGCCTGGCCCGCCTGGCCCGGGCCGCGGCATTAATGCTGCCGCCGCGATTGGCCGCACTCGGGTCGCATTTCCAATTGAAAGCGAGGCGGGGCGCTCAGCAGCGCTAGTTTCGCCTGGGATTTACACGCACCCCCCCCCCCACACACACACACACACACGCCCTGCGCACACAAAGTGCGCGAGGCGGCACGCGGAGAGCGAGAGGGAGGAGTGCACTAGCCAAGCCTGGCCAAGCCAAACTCGTGTTGGTTCGACTCCACGCTCACTCCTCGCCTGTGGCCGAGGGCCACAGGTGCGCGACTGCGGACTGGGGCCGCCGGCCAGGCAGGCCCACTACACTCTACCAAAAATGTCCTGTAAATGCCGTTAATTTATTACCAGTTTTCACTGTAGGTCAATTCACAGCGTTTACTGTGATCTGCTGACGGGATTCACTGTGATCTTGTTCGCGGTGTTCACTGTGATCTGGTCCCCAGTAAACACTGTGAGTTTGACGCCGCTAAGCACCGAAGTACTGCAAATCAGGCTCCAATTCACGGCGTTTACTGTGGCCAGATCACAGTGAACACTGTAACCGAGATCACAGTGAACGCCGTGAACTAGTTCACAGCAAATGCCGTGAATTGCATAACAGCAAACATTGGTAATAAATTAACGGCGTTGACAGGACATTTTTTGTAGAGTGTAGGCAGGCTAGGCAGGCCTACACGCGTGTTGCTGGTCGACGGCAAGCAGTGCGCAGTTAGTTGTCCCAAGGGACGACAGCGTCAAACAATTTGCGATCGGGTCTTCTTTTTCCCCTGTCAAATGGACTGTACACCAGCCTTCCCAAACCCTGAAATAAATAAAAATCTAATGGTATGGAGCCGCGCAGCGCGCGCGCCGGAGTGGTTGTGCCCTCGAATAGTGAGTGGGCAGCTGTGATGAACGGCGTGGCGGGGCGTGGCGTGGCGTGGCGTGGCCGGGGGGGGGGAGCCCAATTCCGAAAACAAACAAACAAGCGAGACTCCAGTCGCACTGACATGTCACCCAGCGGTCTGACCGCCCGTCTGGCCGTCCGAGTCCTTGAAGAAGAGCATTTTGAGGGGCACACGCACGTGGACGTCGAGGACGTCGTGGACGTCGAGGACGTCGAGGACGTCGTGGACTCGCAGGCATAGCAGGCCGACCCAGCAGCGCCACCAGCGCCAGCAGAGGGCGAAATGACAAAAACCCGACTTGAATGGCAATTGAAAGTGTTTGCTCGATACTCCCGCCATGATCCTAGCAACGTGCCGGCACTGCCATGAAGAGGCCCCCCTCCCCCTCCACTGCCGCCGCTGCCCCGAAGGCGAGCGTGCCTCGTGGGTCTCGGCCACTAGAGGCTGTGGCCGCGGACGCGCCTTGATATTGGACATCAATTGGCTGCATCGCGCTGCCCGGCCGCGTCCGGGTTCCATTTCCTTCATTTCCTGCCATTCCGGCCGGAAGCCCCGGAAAATTGGGACTCCGAAAATAATAAGGGAGGCAAAACACGGTTCGGGAGTGGTGGAGTGGCACAAGTAAAAAGACTCCCCTCCCACTCCCGCCCTTGCCGTGATCCGCGAAGCGTGCACCTGGGGCGCCTAGCACGCTCGTTCCAGCAGCTTCGCTGGAGCCTCCAGGCTGTCTCCAGTCTGTCTCCAGGCTGTCTCCAGGCTGTCTCCAGGCTGTCTCCAGGCTGTCTCCAGGCTGTCTCCAGGCTGTCTCCAGGCTGTCTCCAGGCTGTCTCCAGGCTGTCTCCAGGCTGTCTCCAGGCTGTCTCCAGGCTGTCTCCGGGCTGTCTCCAGGCTGTCTCCAGGCTGTCTCCAGGCTGTCTCCAGGCTGTCTCCAGGCTGTCTCCAGGCTGTCTCCAGGCTGTCTCCAGGCTGTCTCCAGGCTGTCTCCAGGCTGTCTCCAGGCTGTCTCCAGGCTGTCTCCAGGCTGTCTCCAGGCTGTCTCCAGGCTGTCTCCAGGCTGTCTCCAGGCTGTCTCCAGGCTGTCTCCAGGCTGTCTCCAGGCTGTCTCCAGGCTGTCTCCAGGCTGTCTCCAGGCTGTCTCCAGGCTGTCTCCAGGCTGTCTCCAGGCTGTCTCCAGGCTGTCTCCAGGCTGTCTCCAGACTGCCTCCGCCGGACGTCCCGCTCCCCCCTTTTTCTCCCGGAGCGGAGACACTGCGTCCGTTCGGGACTTGCATAATAGCCTCAATCCGGCTAAGTGTCTGCCCGTCTGCCGGCGGGTCCAGTCGCCTTCTGTCCCGCTGCCCCGGGGCCGCCTGCCAGGGCCAGGGCCTCGGCCAGGGCCGCCGGGGCCGCCAGGGCCGCCCCGATGGGGTGCGCACTGCCATGGCACTGCCTGCATCGCGCTCGCCCCCGCCCCGCGCCCCCCGCCCCCCGCGGGTGGCGCCCGAACCTCCGACCCGCGTCGTCGGGCGTATAACGCGTTTTTGAAACCACGCCACGCCTTACGACACCGCAATCTAGTTGGGGAGCAGAAGGCCACGCCACAGACACCCCGCGCCGCGCCGCGCCGCGCATCATCGGCACCAAGTCAGTGTCAGGGCGATTAAGGTCAGGCGGCGGGTCGGCCAAGAACTGGGTCAGCGAAACAAGACACCAAACACGGCCTGCGCAGGGCCGACTTATTTTCAGCCGATTTAGTCTTGCTTTCTCCCGCTCCCCGCTGAATGAACTTTAAAGGGGTTTCTGCGCTGCGAGATGTTCTTCGCGGTGCCTCATGATACTACACTGGTCCCGGGCGCGGCGCGCGGCGCGCGGCCGCCACGCCAACTGGGCTAATCCTAATGCACCAGCCGGAACACCAAAGTCCCTTCGGCGGAATAATCAGAATCAGATTGACTGGCGCGGCTGGACCGCTGCCCCTCCACTGTTTGCCATGTTCCACTCCGCGTAAGCAAGATCGCGCGGCCGGGGGCGAGTGCCAGCGGCCAGCATCCAGCATCCGCTGCTGCAGGTCCATAATTCGGCCGGCCCGCGCATAATGGCACCAGCGCCGTCTCTCTCGCATTCATGAGGCGCTCGGCCGTGGCGCGAGGGAGACGGCGCGAGCCTGCAGGCCGCGGGCCGAGCCGACACATCGGGCACGGCCCTGGCACCGCCAACACGTCGCGTCGCACGTCGCCCTTGTTGACCAATCGCTGTTGACTGCGCAGGTTTCGCCGTGCCGCTGTACATCATCGTGTACATGTACGTGCAGATGTCGCTGGCCGCGCACCAGAACAGCAAGCGCACGCGGCGCCACAGCGTGTGCACGCCCACGCAGAGCACGCGGAGCAACGGGCACGCGTCCATGGACGCGGGGTCGCGCGGCGGCTCGCGCGGCGGCTCGCTGGACCTCAGCCTGCCGCCCTTCAGCGGCACGCCCGAGCACGCGGCCAGCAAGGGGTGAGTTGCCGCCGAGATCGACGCGGCCGCCCACAGGGAGCAACCCACTCCCGCTCTCGAGATTTCGATTAATCGACGTGGCTCGCGCGTTGCCCCGCAGGGACTTCCCCCGGCGCCAGGGCCGCAACCCGCCGCTCGGCTCCATCGTGCTGAACAGCAAGCGGCGCTGCTCCAACGCCAGCTTCTCCACGCTGCTGCTGCGCGAGGAGGGCCGCGCCGTCAAGACGGCCCTGTTCGTGGTGGGCGCCTACCTCACCTGCTGGACGCCCTACTTCGTGTTCGTGCTACTGCAGCGCCCGTCGCCGCCCTTCGTGCTGCTGCTGGCGCACGTCAACTCGTGCGTGTCGCCGTGGATCTACGTCCTGCGCAACGAGGAGGTGCGCCTGGAGGCCAAGAAGCTGGTGGCCAGGGTGCTGCACCTCAAGCTGGCCCTGCCCCGCCAGCCGCAGGACAGCCCCGCCCACGCCCACAGCTACGGCCGCTCCGACTCGTGCTACAGGTGGGTACCGGGGGGGGGGGCAGTCCTGCGGTGCGTGTAAAGCAGTGGACGGCCGCGCGCCGTCTTGCTGAAACAATCTGTCCTCCTTTCCCCCGCAGCAAGGCGGTCGAGGCGTCCGCCCACCCGGCGCACCCCCAGCAGTCCTCCCACTGCGACAGCATGTCCGTGCAGAGCTTCCACCTTCCCACCGCGGGGGCCGTGGCGGGGGCCGCGGCGGGCGACGCTCTGGCTCCGGGGCCCGGCTCCGTCGGCGGCGTGCCCGCCGCGGGACTGCCGAGCTACCTCACCGGGGCCCCCCTCGGGGGCGTGGCGGGCTCGGACTCGCCGCTCACGGCGGAGAGCCTCTGCAGTGCGGGCGAGTCGCCAGGCCCCGCGACGGCCGGCGGTCTGGTGCGGCTGGCCTACAAGTACCCGCACTCGCAGTACCCGTACCCGCAGTACTCCGGGCACCTGCAACGCGGCCGCTCGCAGACCTGCGTCCGCCAGAACTCGGACTCGTCGTCGGGCAGCGGCCGGCCGCTGCTGCAGTCGGACCACGCGCCGGGCCGGTGCGGGCGGCGGCGCCTGGGCAGCTCGGGGGACAGCGGTAGCGACCAGGAGACCCCGCGCCACGGCGCCACCCAACTCGACGACGACGGCTCGCCGCCGCCGCTCTCGCCCCTCGACCGCGACCGCGACCGCGACCGCGACCGCGACCGCGACGCCAGGGCGGGGTGTCGACGCAAGCTGCTGCACCGGGACAGCCTGGAGGAGGAGGACGAGGACCAGCTGTCGCCCACGCCGCCGCTGCCGCTGTCGGCCACCTTCCGGAGGATGTCGGCGCACGGGCCGCCCCCGCCCACGCCGCCGCGCCGCTCCAGTCTGTGCGGCAGCAGCGGCAGCAGCGCGTGCAGGCGGGGCTCCCTCAAGCTGGACGCCAACATCTTCCAGGTGAGTGCAAGTCACCCTGCTGTCACTCCGCGCTGCTTTGTTGCTTTGTCCGTGACGTTGGCCACGACTGTTCCAGTTCGACAACATCCCCGTGCCCTTGGAGGGCGGCCTCGGCGGCCTTGGCGGCCATGGCAGCGTGCCGCTGTCCCTGTCGCTGCGACAGAACTCGGGGGGTAGCATCGAACAGGCGGACTGCAGCACCGTCAGCGGGGACAGCGGCATCTGCATATTCGCGGCCACGACGGCATTCGCGGGGGGCGGCGCGGGCGGCTCTGAGAGCATTTCCATGTTGACTGCGGGCCACGCGCCGCCCCCCGCCGCCTCCGTGTTGCGGCCCCCACCGCCGCCGCGGAATAAGCTGAAGCGGATTGAGGCCGTGGAGGAGTCGGTCTGTGACACGACCTTCTCGACGATCGCGTCCACCGCGTCCAGCCCGACCTCGACCTCGACCTCGACCTCGACCCCCAATCCCACGTGCGCAAACACGTGCGGCAACGGACATGCAGCGCCGCACTTCCCGCCGTGGCCGCTCAGTGAGTTCCCCGAGTTCCCCGAGTTCCCCCCGGCCGCCGCCGCGGCCACGCACTCGCTGCAGCAGCTGCAGCACTGCGCCACGGTGAGCGCTGCCACGGACAGGCTGCACAAGCTGGCAGACATCCGGACCCTCGTCAAGACCAACATGCACCGGCCCGCGTACCGCGTTCCCAAGGCCGACTTCTAGGAGAAGCAGCCGACGAGGTGACAACACTACACTGCGAATCTGGGTTCAATAGCCAGCTTCAAAGGGACTACATTTTAGTATTTATTAATTTTTGCGCTCTCTGAATCCCCAACCTCTTTTTGTTTTACAGAATACTTACTGCTCCTCACTGTCGCGTAGAAATTTTTTAGCTTATTCAAACCCGGGACTTCCCCAATCCAATAACAATTATTCAAATAACGTTAATAACTTAGATACTTCATTTGTGACCTAGTATGAACTGACCTTCTAAGCATATTTTTTACTATCATGGTAAAAACTGCAAATGTACCACCCAAAAGCCCAGAGGATGTGGTCGCCCACTCTGCAAATGTGTCCCCTCCCCCCTTTTCCCCCGTAAATTACTCACTTCCCACAGTGAGCTCTAATCCAAGCCACAATCACAACATGTTATGTTTTTATTTATGGGAATGACATAAATGCAAAATCAATTTGAAAAAGTAAACAATCATTCAAAACTGCCTTACAAACCCTGTTTCACAACCAAGGACCAGTTACAGTTTCATCCTGAACAGAAGACTGTCCCATTCCAGAAATTTAATTTCCTATTTTATTTTTTTTAATTTGTTTTTTTTTTTAGCGGCAAACTTAGGAATGTGTGTTTGTTTCTGCTGCTGGACAGTAGAATCATTTCAAACTGAAATTGTTGTTTTCGATTTGCCACTATAGCTGTAAGGTTCATCACAATGTGAATACACGCACAATATTTGTGACCTTCAAAAAGATGAAATAGCAACAGCAGATGAGTTTTTGGTCACTTTAGAGAACTACCCATTGTTTCCCTCACTTCTTCAAGGTAAACCATTATAAAAATTTTGCCCTCAGAAATAATCAACATGGAGCGAAAAATTGCCTCTAGAAAAAACAACTTGGTTGCGTACTGCTACAAAAATTAGTGGATTCCAAATACTGATGGCGTGTGCTAAAGCGCTCACTCCGAGGGGGTGGCCAGAGTAGTGCACCTTGACTTTGGTCTCCATATCTTAAATACATTATTATTTTTTTTAAATTGCACAATCCTGGTTTTGAATTGAGATTTGCTGAACATATGTGGGAGATGTAGTAAAGGAAGTGATAGCAGAGAGCCTTGAAAATCTGCCCATGACACAATAGTGGTGTGCCATTAATTTTTCTAAAGCTAGTAATAAAATAAAATAAATGTGATATAATTTATGTTCTTTTTTTAGGAATGATCAGATGTTATCGCTGGATCGGTACCTCTGTAGGTGAAAGTTAAGATAACAGACTAGATTTGTATTTAATCAATTTTGTTCATGAACGATTCAACATAGTACTTCCATATGGAGGTTCATCCTAGTCTACATCTGAATTTCATACACAGTATGTTAGTTGACCTACGTGTTTAATTTCAATATCACACCGCCCAATGAAAGTTAGAGAACCAGTGAATGCACTCATGTATTTTCTTTATAGAATAAAGTTAAGCTGAAAATGTTTAGAAGTTATGCCTTGGGCTTGCATGTTGCAAATCTGCGCTGTGAAACTATTTAACTACAGCATTTATCTTCTTTACACAATATATTGATAATACAGTATTTTCTTTAATTTGTGTCCTTGCATAGTATATTTTAAAATTTTGACAGTGATTTTATACCACCTGTTCATTAAAGGAAATCCCTGGTACCTAGTAGAAATCACCTTGAGGCTCTGTGACCTCCATGTCCCAGCAAGTTACAAAAAGGTCATTATTTGGGACCATTCTGAGATCATCTTGAGTTCTTGGGCCATTTTGACCTCACTGTGACTTTGTTTTCTACTAGAATAGGGCTGGAGTGACTCCGATCTTAGAAGTACTTGCTATTTCTGCATTTAAGAGCAATGTAACAGAGATGTTTCAATGCTAGCTGAGTTTAGATTGCTTTGACTGATTGTAATGTTGTGAAGATAGTTTACAGATTGCACAAATGTGCTACACTATATATGTTATTATTTTGGAATGAAATGTTTATGAGATGTTATCAGCGTGGTAAAGTTTACACTTTATTGTAATGTGATAGGCTCGATATGGATGGCAAAAGGTGATTTGCCCGAGAAAAGTGATGGATTTTAATTTCTAGATAAATATCTGCGCTTTATATACCTGTATGTATGTCCTTTCAAATAATTTATATTTTGTAAATAAGTTGAATTAGTCATAAAATGTTGTGGCAAAACTGTCGGCTGATGCGAAACTGTGTTAAAAACTGTTGTGCCAACAATAAAACCTCCTATGTAAGAAAGAATACAGTGCCTCCAACCTATTTTGGGAAAAATGTCAGTTTGCAAAGTCTGCAGGGAGGTGTTAATGATCCACAAGGTACGGTCTGCTGTGAGCTCCTTACACAGGACTCTAGCCTCACCAGCAGTAACAGTGGACGCAACAAGCTGCTGGATCCTGTTGATGTCCCTGGATAAAATTATAAGAAAACCATTTCCTTATAAATCAACTATAATTCAATATGAATTATAACGTCCCAAAACAAACTTCCTTTCACACACATTACTGTTGTACACTATTATCACCATACTGACACAATACAAACCAAGTTTCAAATTACTTAAGAAAGAAAAATGTTGTGGGACATAAATAAAAATATACACACAAACATGAACCAAAAGTCAAGTCCACAAATATCATTGATGTAACAGTCAATGGAATGATCCACATCAGTTAACAAGCTTAAGTAGTGTTTCATTAAATTAAAACAATGAGTCATAGTCTAACATGTTCATCCCCCTCAGGCTTGAAACCTAGTAATAAACTAAGCCTTGATTACATTAAATCAAAGTCATAACAGAAAAAACATATCACCCAGTAGATAGTATCGATAGGAAATATCTAACAATAAAGTCATAATTACAATTCAGCACATAAAGTGGAAGCTTATGATTGATCTGAAAATTTGAAAAATGAACTGGCAAAGACTGCTGAGCTGTGAAGGAATCCATGTACTTGAAAACCTGAAAAAACTTGAAAACATGCTGCTAACCATTTGTAAACAGAGCATACTGTTAACTACTTACACCTCAGACAAAACGAAAAAAAAAAAAAAGAATAAATGTATTGAGAAGTACAAAATGCATACAGGGATTCATCTAACTTTACACAAACACTAGCACCGTAAAGGAAAAAAATCACAAAGCATGGTAGCAGGAAAAACAGTCAGCACCAAATTCCCTTCTACATTTTTGTTTACTACACCACAACCACATTTCCTTTTCCTTAGCTACAATATCTCACAGAAGCAAATAGTACTCATCACACTCCAGAATACTAAGATTCACAAACAATGAACCAGTATTAGGACATGAGATAAACACATACTGTAGTAGTAAACACTATTACCAACAGTTACACAGATATTAGGAAAAGACTTGCGATTGGCAAATTCAGGTCTTCACATTGCTGCCTAATTCAGACTATATTCTAAATAATACTTTAGACTGTAAAACGAATTACATTCAATAACCCCCTTCATTTTCAAAAGGGACCACGTCATGAGACAAGGTGTAGAGTGATGCTTAATTTAAAATTCTGCAACGCTATAATAAATAAACACAATATAAGTGATGGGTAGAATACAAACAGAGCTAATCAAATAAAATATGTGGAATCAGATTTGAATTCAAAATTTTCACACTGGACAAGGAAAAGCTTCTAACAGAATGAACATCACAATCATAGGGGTTTTAAGAAAATACCTTTCTTTACTGCCTAATTTACAGCAGAGAGGGAAAAATACAGGGATCAAGGCAGATCAAAACCAAAATATGAGGGAAACTCACTCTCACATTGCAGAACACATAAATTATTTAACATGGTTCTTGTTATATACTATGTAGCCACTAACCATATATTACAAGGTTAGCCAAGGAAATTTTTTACTGTGAATCTAGAAAATGACTACTGAGACATTTAGAAATGATTAGCTCCTTTGAAACAGGACGGTTCCAAACCAAATTTTGAGACACCTTCGCTGGAAGACAAGAACAAAAGTATGTAGTGAAGCACATAACATCGACTTAAATGTATGTAAAAGGAAAATCACAGACTATTTTTGTTTGTCAATGCGTGCCTTGATGGCAGTATAGATTTTTCATCCAATAACATAAAAATTTCAACACAAAACAGAGAAGAAACAGATTAGTGCCCCCTAATAAATATCACAACCATTTAAGGTTCCTGCCTTACAAAATATAATTCACAAGCATTAAACTGCAACCAGAATACCGTTTTCCTTTGATTAAGTTTTGATTCTGTAATGGATTTTGAGAATGCAAAATAAAAAAACGTTAGATCAACAGGTTCTAAAAGAACAATGGACACTTTTAAGAACAAAAGACAATATTTTAAAATAATATAACAAAATCAAAGTACAAAATTGGAGAGAAGATACTGGATCATCATTTATTATTAATTATCACTAAGGTGGGGTGGGAGTGGAGATGAACAATGGAGTGAGTGATTATGATCACAGCCTTGCCCATAAAGTAGAGAATATGTCATAAGATATAAAGTTCTAATACTAGAGCAAATAAATATCAAAGCTTTGTACAAAGTTTTAAAATAAAGTTGCTCATATATTTATGTATCCTTACTCTAGGTGCACTTAATAGGCAACCACAAATCACAAATTGGCATCATTTAACAGTGAGGAATCAACAACTGTGTCTGGATTCACTACTTCTAAGGTACTCATTACTACTCCAACAGAATCTGAGTTGGAGTTCAGTGCAGAAACGTGGCTCAAATCCATCTTTATATCAGCCATTCCATCTTCAACCTTCATTCTTACGACTGGCTCTAGAGGTGCAGTGTGGATGATTTCCACCCCTTCTAAAGAATTGCTTTCAGTTCCAGATACACCAACAACACCATCAGGCTTCTCCTCTTCTAAAATATAAGAGTTGTGTATTTTTTGATGTGCAGTAAGACCTCCCTTTTTCATAAACTCCTTTTCACACAAATGGCATTTGTACCGCTTCTCTTCCAAATGCATCTTCTTGTGGGCATTTAAGTACCACAAAAAGTGGAAACTCTTGTTACAAATATCGCAGGTGAATGGTCTATGCTCTTGATGACTTTTTAAGTGTTTGTTGAGAGCAGCTCTGTCGGCGTATGTTCGAGGGCAGAGAGTGCAAGAATGCGGACGAAGGCCCTCATGGGAGCGCCGATGTCGCACTAAATCTCCTCTTCGGGCAAACTCCCTTCCACACTTATCACATTTCACCCGTTCTCCATTGTGCACCTTAAGATGTAAATTTAAATTTGCTTTCCATTTAAAAGACTTTCCACACAGATGACAGGTAAAGGGAGTGTCCTAATTTTGGGAGAAGAAACAAAAATTGCATAAATTACACTAAACATTTCATACATGAAATTGGATCAAATAAGAATCATAGAAATTACCTGACTATGAACTCTTCGGTGAGCACGGAGATGTGACCTGGATCGAAATGAGCGCGCGCACACAGCACAGGTGTACGGCCGTTGATCTGAATGTGTTTTAATATGGGCTTCTAGGTTGTGTTTGTCCGAGAATGCCTTGTTGCAAGTGATGCATGAAAATGGGCGCTCTCCAGAATGGACTCTCCGGTGTCTATCCAGTTTACCTTTCCCAGAGAAGGATTTACCACAAATCTAATTTAAAAAAAAAAAAAACATAATTAGCCAAACTAAAAGACAGCCACTTGAAGTATCAGTTGAAATCAGCACAAAAATAACTTTTACTTACATCACATTGATAAAGGCTCGTGTGTAAACGGGCATGCAGAGTAAGGTCCCACCTCATGGCAAAACTTTTCCCACAGGTGTCGCAGATGTGTGGCCGGGCGTCGCTGTGCTGCGCCATGTGGGCCCGCAAGTTCGTCCGTCGCATGAACCTCTTGGGACACGCACTGCATGGAAATGGTTTCAAGCTGGAAAAAGAAGGCAGAGGCATTAGTTAGCACTTCCATGAAAACGGTAGAGAGTTTTAAACTTTCGTGATTTACTAACCCTTTTTCAGAAGCTCCCTTTTTTGCAGGGTCACCATCATTGATATCTCCTGTGATTGTCTCACCCATACTCTCTGATAAACTGTCCTCAAACACTATACTTTCTATTTTAGGAGAGGCAGAGTTTTCTATGTGGCTAAATGTTACCTTTCCATCAACAATATCATCAGTGGTATACTCTATTATCTGAGAACGGCCCAAAGCACCCTCTGGTACAAAAGATATTACATGAGTATTGGATCCAAGAGAAGCTCCTCCAGTGGAAAATGTTAAGGTCTGATCTTTAGCAAGGACAGTGGAACTGTCAGCAAATTGTGACGTTGAGGGTAAAGTTGTTCCATCGGTAATGTAACTGATGGTCTGGCCTTTAGCTAGAGTCAGTGGTTGAAGACCAGGGTAAGCAATGGTTTGAGCATTCCCTTGCGCATCATATGCTAGGACATGAGTTTTGCCAAGAGTGATGGGAGTCTCATCTTCAGTGTACGCGACAGTATGGGCATTTGAAGCAATTCCTTGCGCCTCAGTTGTAAAAGCCAATTGAGGAGCTGCCTTAATGAGACCGTTAGATTGAGGTTCGGAAACATAATTAATGACCCGCGACTTAGTAGGAGCAGCATATGTGATGGCATGTTGCTTTAGGTGAGCTGAATCAGCTTGCGGCTGGATCTGATTTTGAGCTTGATTTTGTAAGTCCTGCAGCAGAACATCTTTGTACTTCAATTCCACCTGAAAAGGATAAAAACAGGAAATATGTAGACAGGGGTGCTTTAAGTCTGAATAAATTAATACCTTTCATAAAACATACCATGAGAAGAATGTCTTGGCCATCATCTCGATGTGTAACAATCTGACCATTTTCCATTTTCCCTAAAACAATGACACTACCTTCATGTCCAGCCAAGGACACTACACTAGCGCCATCCAAACGTGAAGCATCATCAACTGTTGCCCAGGTTAGATTTCGCTGAAGCACATGTTGAATCTAAACCATACAAATAGTCCAGAAAAGATAACATTATAACAAGGTCAAAAATTTTACACAATAATAGTAATGATGCAAAAGTTTTCAGTCAGTGTACCTCATCTGCTTGTGAAACTTCCACTTCTACATTGTTTTCGGATGACTGAATTTGGTTAGACATTTCCTGAGCCTGATCGGCAGTCACCATCACTATTGAAATAGGGCCATGATCATCAGTAGCCTGTAACTCGTCCTTACAATCAGGTGGCTGCTCCTGCAAAAAAGTTCACAAAGAATATAATTTTATAGGCCTAGAAGATTAATAAAAGAAATAAATATTCACACTTGCCATTTTTGACAAAGTGCAGTCAAAGTTTTGGGAAACAGGGTGGCAATGCTACAGCAATCTGAAACATAAGAAAAGTAAAATTTAATAAATCTGCCGTTTTGAATTGTAAAGAAACAAGTGATCTATTCCAGTATCGCTCGGCAAGACAACCAAGCTAAGACTGGCCACTTTGTAAGAAAGTGTGGTGTGGTTGGATGTCACAACTTTATGGTTCCAATGATGTCATTCTACATGAATTAATGGAAAATTTCTATATAAGTCTTAATAAATTTTCTTGTTGAAAGTGACAGTGTCAAAGAACCCATAGAAAGGGTTACGTGCAACAACAACAAAAACTTTTGAATAATGCTATTTACTGGTCAAACACACTCACCGTGTTGAGAAGAAAAAGATGAATAGGCGCAGGAAGGGATTCCTTTAACTATTTAATAGAAATGTCCTGATAAGAAAGCACTGCAGCGAATAAATATGAGACGACAGAGAGGTTCTGTAGTGTCCAAACAGGCAGCATGGTTCGCTCTAAAGCCAAGCCATGGAGCCGATAGGCGTTCTCAAAACGTTCAAGGGGAAATACTAAGCATGTTCATGGACAGACGTGCACGTCCATTAACAGCATTTAGTTGAGACAAATCCCTGTGAACCAAACAGAAACACAATCTTGCACTTGCAGCGCACAATGTGTACAAACACAAACTCTTGTTTTGCGTAGATCGTTATGGGGGTTTTCGAGAAGGCGCCTTCTGCTTTGAGTTTTGTTTGTGTGAGGGCGCCACTTACGCATCAAAATGCGGCAAATTTGAACTGGTTTGAAGTCAGGTGTTTTCCCCGTCATTTCTTTGAAGTCCAAAGTCTGTTTTTAAACAGTTTCGACCGTGGAAGGGTTATTTCTGTTTTCTGTGCTTCTTGTGCAGAGTTTAAAGGGAAGGGTGACTGTGTAAAAGAGTAACTCTAATGTAACATTTAATTTATATTTATTTATTTTTTTAAAATTACTTACAGCACTTACAACAAAACTAAAATAGATGATTTATTTACACATTGCAATAGAAGTTAACTAACTAGCTAGGAACTTAGCCTAATTCAGTCTGGCAGCAAAATAAGCTTAAATACATGGATATCACGAGATATGAGATATGAAACAGTGAATAAATTACATGACCAATATGAAAATGCGAACAATCAACACAAATGGAATGAAGGAGAGAAGATTCGACTAGGACGCTTTAGTCCACCTCCTCGACGGTGGGTCCGCTGCGGTGGGCGCCGCCGGCTTGCTGGCCGCAGCCTTGTGCTTGAGGCCCTGCCTGCCCGCCGGTGTGCAGGCGGGTCATGACGTCCTGCACCTGCTGCTGCAGCTCCTTGAGGCGGTGCTCGTACTCCTCTTTCTCGGCCAGGGTGTTGCTGTCCAGCCACTTGAGGGTGGCGTCGCACTGCTCGCGTGCCCGGGCGCGGTCCTGCTCGGACAACTTCTGGCCCGCCTCGTCCAGGGCCTGCTTGATGCTGAAGACGTACCCCTCGAGCTGGTTCCGCGCGGCCACGCGCTCCCGCTGCTTCTCGTCCTCGGCCTTGTACTGCTCGGCCTCGTCCAGCATGCGCTGGATCTCCTCGGCGGACAAGCGGCCCTTGTCGTTGCGGATGGTGATATTCTGCGAGCGGCCGGAGCTGTTGTCCTTGGCGGTCACGTTGAGGATGCCGTTGGCGTCCATGTCGAAGGTGACCTCGATCTGGGGCACGCCGCGCGGTGCGGGGGGAATGCCCGTCAGGTCGAAGGTGCCCAGGCGGTTGTTGTCCTTGGTCATGGCGCGCTCACCCTCGTACACCTGGATGGTGACGGCCGGCTGGTTGTCCGCGTACGTGCTGAAGGTCTGCGTCTGCTTGCAGGGGATGCGCGAGTTGCGCTCGATGATCTTGGTCATGACGCCGCCCGCCGTCTCGATGCCCAGGGACAGCGGCGCCACGTCCACCAGCAGCACGTCCTGGATGGCCTGGCTCTGGTCGCCGGACAGGATGGCGGCCTGCACCGCCGCGCCGTACGCCACCGCCTCGTCCGGGTTGATGGAGAGGTTGAGCGACTTGCCGTTGAAGTAGTTCTGCAGCATGGCCTGCACCTTGGGGATGCGCGTGGAGCCGCCCACCAGGACCACGTCGTGGATGTCGGCCTTGCCCAGCTTGGCGTCCTGCAGAGCGCGCTCTACCGGGGCCAGGGTGGAGCGGAACAGATCGGTGCAGAGCTCCTCGAAGCGCGCGCGGGACACCTTGGTGTAGAAGTCGATGCCCTCGTACAGCGCGTCGATCTCGATGGTGGCCTCGGTGGAGGAGGACAGGGTGCGCTTGGCGCGCTCCGCCGCGGTTCGCAGACGACGCAGGGCGCGCGGGTTGGAGCGCACGTCCTTGTGGAACTTGCGCTTGAACTCGTCGGCCAGGTGGCTCACCAGACGGCTGTCGAAGTCCTCGCCACCCAGGTGCGTGTCGCCGGCCGTGGAGCGCACCTCGAACAGGGAGCCCTCGTCGATGGTGAGGATGGAGACGTCGAAGGTGCCGCCGCCCAGGTCGAAGATGAGCACGTTGCGCTCGCCCTTGAGGTTCTTGTCCAGGCCGTACGCCAGGGCCGCGGCGGTGGGCTCGTTGATGATCCGCAGCACGTTGAGGCCCGCGATGACGCCCGCGTCCTTGGTGGCCTGCCGCTGGCTGTCGTTGAAGTAGGCGGGCACCGTCACCACCGCGTCGCGCACCGTGCTGCCCAGGTACGCCTCGGCAGTCTCCTTCATCTTGGTCAGCACCATGGAGCTGATCTCCTCCGGCGCGAACACTTTGCGCTCACCCTTGAACGAGACCTGGATCTTGGGCTTGCCGCCCTCGTTGACCACGGTGAAGGGCCACTGCTTCATGTCCTGCTGGATCTTGGGGTCGTCGAACTTGCGGCCGATGAGTCGCTTGGCGTCGAACACGGTGTCCTTGGGGTTCATGGCGACTTGGCTCTTGGCCGCGTCGCCGATGAGGCGCTCCGTGTCGGTGAAGGCCACATAGCTGGGGGTGGTGCGGTTGCCCTGGTCGTTGGCGATGATCTCCACCTTGCCCTGCTGCCACACGCCCACGCAGGAGTAGGTGGTGCCCAAGTCGATTCCCACGGCTGGCATCTTGGCTGGGATGATTCACTGGCTTGTTGAATCACTCGAAACACTCGCACTGGCACTTGGCGAAAACTCGCTGATCACAAAATGAAGGAACTAGCACTTGTCGATGCTCACGAGAACACTGGTACAGCGCTGAGTCGCGTAGACTTTAGCTCTGAATCACTTGATTGCTCGCTGAGAACTGAACTGCCGACCGTCGGCGCGCGCTGCTTATATGAGCGGCCGTGCGCGTGGTGGGGGAAGGTGGGGGCAGCGGCCCGCTTCGAATCCGCTCGCCGCTTCGCGGGTTTTCTCGACGCTGCGCGGCGCTCTCGAATCTTCTCGACGCGCGCTCTGATTGGTCGGCGCCGGAGTGGAGGGGGAACGCGCTTCCCCTTCCACTGCCGCGTCTTTTCTGGCGCCGCCAGGAATGACGTTCGAGAACGTTTCACCGGCTTCTTCTAGGTTCTACTGATGGACACTCAGACACCCGACCCGTGTTGTAGAGTCATTATTTTTCAAACCAATGAGACGAATTCTTCTTGGTTTTTGGCACGAGCTTCTCAGTTTCTGTCTTGTTTTAACAATGTTAACCAGCAAAATACCAAGGCAGTTTAATTACCAAAGCAGATTGCGTTGATTAATCATTCTCTGAAATTAATTAAATGTGCATTTATTCACATCTTGGATCTCTGCTCTTCTCCACCATAATAGCTGTGTGTCTGAAACGTTTTTCTTTTTTTTTAGAGAACATTCTACCCGGTTCTTTCATTTCTACCAGGTCTAAAGAAATTAGCAAAACTATGAGGCAATGATTACAGGAAATATATGAGGATTTTCATCATTCACAACAGGTTACATTTCAAAAGAATTTATTATTCGTTTGGGTACTAAAAGGCTCAATAAACAAATATCACAAGATTGCACAATGGAGGGATTAGGAATCAAGATGCCATCACAAGGAAATATTTTGCTACTTTAGTGCTTAATTTAGTAGTACTACAGTGTTCCAATAATTTATTGAAACAAAAAAGTCTAAACTTTAAATTTTACACAAACCTTTCCAAGTGGACGTTTCTAATGACAGTCTATGTATAAAAAATTTACACAATTGATGATTATCAATTTTAAAATGTGGCAACCATTGTGCACAACTATAGTGAATGACAGTGATGACAGTTACCATGCATTAAGTTACAGAATAATCAAGTATGAAAAATAAGTAATCAAAAATAAATCATTTGGAATTAATGGCAAGTTCTTCAGTTTCTCCCTGCAAGAACAATAAACCCTGTTGCGTCCATTATTGCATAACATACAAACTTTATTTATTAAGAATCATAAATAGTGCTCTCTAAGGATGAATGACAAGTCATGACAAAAAGACTATTTCAATGCAGTATGTAAAATGTGCGATAGATCTACACTACAATATGAAAGGGGAAACATGATAAAAAATTCGTTAGGGGGTGGGAAAAGGGGAAAAGGAAAAGCTTCTCCAAAAATTGTAACATAAAATTTCTGCTGAAGAGCACTTCACATTATCCTTGGAAGCAATGATAATCATCATCTGAGTAGCCCAGTACTTTGAGTAACCTGAAATGAGACAGAATAAAGATTGATGTTAGTCATAGGAAAGATTTAAACTGTGATAATAAAGTGCAAAAAAAATCCTTCTTACCCTCCAGTTAACTGAGTAAATGCTGTTGGTCCACATACAAAAGTAAAAAATTTGGGATCTTCCTGAGGTGATCTACTGGGTAAGTGAGCCTTTAACAACTCTCCATCTATTCGACCTCTTAATCCGGTCCACATATCATCAGGTTCCGACAAAATATGCGTGACAGAAAACCTAAACAAGAAAAGTTTCAAACAGGGGTGATATTAGGTAATGTTCTGTTTCAATGAGCCAATCTGCCATTTCATAGTTGTAGGGAAACATACCTGCCATCTTTGAGAACTAGTTTATCAAGTTCTTCTCGCCACAATATATCTTTTTCAGTCCGATTGAAAAATGTTAAACAAATTTTGGTGCTGTATGAGGAAAACAAAATGTTGTTATATAATAACAAGGAGTACAATAGTACAAATATATAGAACTAAGATTACTCACAATTTTCCAATAATGACTTTTCTAGCCCAGTTGATTACCCCAACCATGGGAGTAAAACCAGTACCTGCTGCAAATAAATACAACTCTTTCCTATTTGCCAAGTGTCTTGTTTGAAAGGAACCCTCAGGAGAACTGACTTCGACTATGGATTGTTTAGGCCTGCCAGCAAGCCAAGAGCTTAAGAGACCGTCTTTGTATTCCTTCACCATTAAGTAGACTCGAGTTTGCTCTTCAGTACTAAGAGGGTCCACTAAACTTTTAGAAATGGGAGTATAGCAGCGTACAACCTCTTGATCTGAAAAGAATTCATAAAATTGATAACATTGAAATTTGCTAAAATTTAAAAACAATGGTTAAGTGCACGTACTTAGAAATTACCTTCTAGTGTCATACGGACTCTTACATGGTGCCCTACAGGAGTTGTACAAAAAGACTGATCCAATCGAGTTAAGACTAATATCTTGGTATTGTAGTTCACATCAATTGTGTCAACAACTTCCATTTTTGAATAATTAATTTGAATTTCTGAGCCTTTTTCCTGCCCAGAGTCTTCACAGGGAAGTCCTAGCCTTTTCCAATGACTTGGTTTCATTTTTTTCAGCTGGATTTCGACCTGGAAGATAAAAAAAAAATTATTAACATAATGTGATTGACATTATGTGATTAACATTATGTGATTAACATTATGTAATTCAGAGCGAACACATTTAAATGTGAATACACCCCACCTTGCTGGAATTAGGAATTTGAATTATTCTAACGGGCCAAATAATGGTACCCTCTAGTTCAAAATGAAGAGAACACGTCTCTCCATTTTCTAGGACTTCTATCCTAAAGTCCTGGTTATCCTTCCCCAAAGCTACTAGTACACTTGCTTCTTGAGTTTGACAGTATAGAACGATTGAGCCCGTCTCTTCTTGTTCGTACCAGTCCCAACGAAGTTTTCCTGTGAAAGACAAAGGAAAATCAGTAACACTGAACCACCTTTTTTGTCTTAAACAAGAGGGGGGGGTAACCCTTCTTTTCTTCTTTTAACATTGAAAAATAGACCCACGTTTCGGATGTTTGAGGGGTGCATTCCTGGCGGCATTGTGCTTCTCCTTTTCTTCCTTGGAGGCAAGGAACATTCCAAGGCCCGCTTTGGACGGCGAGGTCTCGGCGCTCGACGCGGCGCTCGGCGCGACGCTCGACGCCACCCCCACCCCGGCAGCGCCGTCCGCGCCGTTGGCCCTGGGACGATACCGACCCACAAAACACTTCTTGAGGATCGACTCGTAGTTCACCCAGGCGTGGACCTGTAACCCAGAAAACCAATTAAAACTCGTCTTCCCCCGAAACAAGCCCTAATCTTGGCTTTGATGGGGGCGATGCGGGGCGCCACCCTCAGCAGACTGAGAGTCGTTTTCGTCGCTGTCTCCCTCGCACTCATGGGGCGTCCCGTGTAGGTGCGAGAGAGACAACGGAGTCTGCAGGTGGTGCAGGCCTCACCTCCGCGAAGAGCTTGGTGGCGTCCGTGCCGATGCCCCGCTCCAGCTCCTCCACGCCGCCCGGGTGGAAGTTCATGTACGGCGTCACGTTGTACACGCTGCCTGCAAAGGGAAGCAAACTCTCAGAAAAACATTGACGGAGGACAAGGCGCCAGTCGGACACTTCAGACCGCTTCAGACAGAAAAGCATGAAACGGGGGACAGCAGGAGAGGGGGTGTGGGGAAGGGGGAAGAACTTGTGCCGACACAGCCATAGTCGGCGTTAGCCAGTCTGGCTGGTCTGGAATAAGCAGTGGAGAAAGGGGGTGGGGGCGGCAGGATACTGGGGGGTGGAAAGGGGCGGGGGGGGGGGGGGGACTACGGGGACTCGGCGAGTTAGGAAAGGCAGGGCGGCTTTGATGTCTGCCGGACCGGCCTGGGACCGGCCTGGGACCGGCCTCGGCCACGGAGGTCCCAGGTTAAATGGAACATGATGAAAGCACCACGACAGTGCGAAACTCATTCAAGGCCCCCCACCTTCGATTCATTCTTCCTGCCGTTCCGCCTCCCGCCTCTCACCTCTCGCCCGCGTCGGGATTAAATAATATAAATGAGGGGCGGAAGAGGGAGAGTGAACGGGAGGGAATAATTCAGCAAAAGAGAAAAAAATTAAAAAGGTGAAGCAGATGGAACGGGTCGGCAACGTAAGCCCGCCTTGCGTATAATGCCGCGAGTTTTGTTGGCGCGCGACTTGCTGCCTTTAAAATGCCGTTATACAAAGTTCGAAAACTTCCCCCACACACAACACTCGCAAACGAGACGGGAGTGCGAGCGCGCGTACACTGGCGCATCTCGTATGCGCTAAAGCTAAAGTTGGCAGCCCGGCGCGCTGTGTGAGTGCGCGCCGCGCGCGTGTGTGTACGTTTCGCTCCAACTCGCGCGCTATGCTGTGTGGCACCGTGGCACTGTGGGTGGCAACGGGCGGCTTGTCGCTTGGCGGGCTTGGCGCGGCCTGGAGCCAACACCGGCCAGCCGAGAGGCCAGCCCTCGGGCCATGGCCAGCCCCAGCCCCAGCCCTGCGGATCTACACTCTACCAAAAATGTCCTGTAAATGCCGTTAATTTATTACCAGTTTTCACTGTAGGGCAGTTCACAGCGTTTCTGTGAACTAGTTCGCGGCGTTCACTGTGATCTCGGTTACAGTGTTCACTGTGATCTGGTCCCCAGTAAACACTGTGAGTTTGCGCCGCGAGCACCGAAGTACTGCAAATCAGGCTCCAATTCACGGCGTTTCTGTGCCCGATCACAGTGAACACTGTAACCGGACACAGTAAACGCCGTGAACTAGTTCCAGCAAACGCCGTGAATTGCATAACAGCAAACATTGGTAATAAATTAACGGCGTTGACAGGACATTTTTTGTAGAGTGTACGGACACCCAAACGGAATCAGCCGAGTTTGAAATCCCCGCCCGCCACCCTGCAGGGCCCTGCCCGCCTGCCGGCTCAAACCTAATCTACAGAAACGCAAACAGCTCCAGGAGGGGCGTTCCCTGCCTGGAGCCTCCAGCGCCTCCAGCCCCGCCCTGTCTCCTGGAGCCTGTCCCCTGGAGCGTGGCGTGGCGTGGCCGTGCCGCCAGGTTGACGCGTCACTCATCTCCCAGGGGGTAGGGGCGGTGGACCCAGCCAGCCAGCAGGCTGATTCCGAGCGGGGGGTCCCCTCCTCGCTCTGTCCCTCTCGCGCCCATGCGCGGGACGCCACGTAAGTGCGAGAGAGAGGGGGCTTCCGGCTCGGAATCAGTGTGCAGCGGGGCGGCGGTGGCGCCTGGGGAGAGAGACTCCAGACCTGGCGGGTCTGGCGGCGTGCCACCCCGCAGCGTCGAGCGGTGCAAGCTTTGCTGGAAGCTTTAGGGAGGAGCGGCCGGGGGAGTGGGCTGGGATGCTGGGACAGGGTGGCATGCAACCCGCCCGCCGTACACAACAGTGCCGTGCTACGCCGTGCGTCTTGCGTGCGTGACGCGAGAAGCGCTGAGTGCCGAGAGGCGGGGCCAGGCCAGGCCAGGCAGGGAGGCAGGCAGGGCGGGCGCGTGACAAAGTTGCCTGCCAAACAAACACACTACCCTGCTCAAGAGGAAGCTTCAGACTCCAGCGTGCGCCAGCGTGTGTCGGACGGTCCGACGCTGGGGACGCTGGGCTTCCGAGCTCCGGGAACGCGCGAGCAGCAGTCTGATTCCGAGAGTCGTTTTCGTCGCTGTCTCTCTCGCACTCATGGGGCTTTCTTATGGGAGCGACAAAGACAGAGCGACGACGACGACTCTCGGAATCAGTCAGGGCGGCGGCAGAATAGCAGCAAAGGAAATTGAGCGCCGCTTTCCTTCGCAGAATGTCACGTTGAAATGTTGCGTTCCGGAGGGGCAGATGGAGACGGAGGGTGGGCGAAACAACGTCGACACCTCCACGGGGCACAGGATGGGCTCCGCCCGCCCGGCCTCGCCGCGGGCTTACAGCGCCCTCGACAGCACCACTGCTGCAATCGGGCGGGTTGCTCGGGGCGGACTGAGTCTGGGCATGTCCAGCACTAATTATACCACGACTCGGAGTGGCTTCGACTCGCCCCAACTCGCCCCAACTCTGCTTGCAACTCGTCGCGACCAGCGACTCGAGTTTGTTTGGAGCTTCCCGCGCGGTGACCAGCAGACTGATTCCCAGAGTCGTTTTCGTCGCGCTGTCTCTCTCGCACCCATGGGGCGTTCCGTGAAGATGGAAGGGAAACAGAGCGACGAGAACGACTCTCGGAATCGGTGTGCTGGCGACGGCAGGGCGCCGCCGCGCACCTGCGGCAGTCGCAGCAGTCGCTTCTCAGCTCAGGGAGGCCCTCGTCGACGGGGCCATCGATTTTGCTCGCTGATTCTGCGCGAGGCAGCGCGACGCAGCGGCAGCCAGAGAGCTGGGGCGGGCTGGGGAGAGCAAAGCTTCAGGTTCCCGCCGTCCGATTAAAAAGGCAAACTTTTCAAGTTGTGTACATAACTGGCGTGCAAGACACGGGAGATTACGGCCCGCCCACCCCGCGCCCCCACCTCCCTCTGCAGACCTGGCGAGACTTGGGCACCGCGAGGAGGGAAACGAGGGAACCGGAGGGAACGGCCCCAAACGTTGGCAGAGCCAACAAGCAGCTTTCGCCCCTCCAGCGGACTGATTCCGAGAGTCGTTTTCGTCGCTCTGTCTCTCTCGCACCTATATGGGACGAGCCATGGGTGCGAGAGAGACAGAGCGACGAAAACGACTCTCGGAAGCAGTCTGCAGCCCCTCCGCCGCGCAGGAGGAGAGCAAGGAAAACACGTGCATCGCTGCAAAACATAAAAGGTACGAACCTCGGATGGCCAGCCACGCGTCCCCCTTGGTGTTGTGCTGGGCGAGCTGCTCGGGGGTCACGTCCAGGACGCGGCCCCCCACCCCCGTCAGGTCCTGCGACGAGTTGCCCAGCCGGATCCAGTCCATGAGGGAGTGGCCCGGCGCCAGGGCCACTTTGTTGCGCGGGTTGCCTGCCCAAAAGAGAGACGCGCGGTTAGAGGAGTGGAAAATGTGGAAAACAAAGGAGGGCCTCCCACCGGCCCGTACAGTGCAGCAGCACACAGTGCAGGCAATTGTTCCCCAGGCTGGCCACCAACGCCAGCGACGCCAGCCCATTCAGCGCTCAAACGGCCGGCCTTTACATTTCCAGGCGGAAAGAAAGAGAGAAAGAGAGAAAGAGAGGGCCCAGGTGCGCGGGCTGCACTGCAAGAAAAAGTGTGAATAGTACAACAAATGTACAACAAAAACTGTACAATGAAAGTACAACAGGGATTGTAGAAAGTACAACGAGATTGTACAAACCACAACGAGCCGGGACTCCCCAGCACTCGTCATGCCGGTTCCATTGTACTTTGTACAAAATTGTTGTACTTTGAAAGTACAATAAAAACCTGATAAAAAATTTGCCAGAAATTTGTGTACTTTTGTTGTGGTTATTTCCTGCAGTGTGGGCGGGCGAGGCGGTGGAAGGCGCGGCCTGTTGAGCTGACCACCGCAATCAGCTAAGTGCTTCTAGGAGAAAGGAAAAAGGGGGGGGGGCTCGTCAGCAAGGGGAGGCTCTTTCTCTTTTTCGCGGCTCAGAAACCTGCTCAGGCAGAAACAACTCTCATCGCGAGACGGAGGGCGAAAAGAATTAGTCGGCCCACCCTTGGAACGTTGATTTTCTGTGGAGCCCGAGCAAAAGAAAAATCAGGCTGAAAACACATGCCCAGGGCAAACGCCTTGAAAATATATTCTCCACGCAAGCAATGCACGGCAAAAACGGAACCTGGTTTTCCCAGGGAGCCTATGGTGGAGACATAGGCGATTTCCAGGGAGTTCCTGGGAAAACCAGGTTCCGTTTTCACCGTGTGCCCTCGGTGTGCCCTCATACCACGTAAAGAAAAAGGACTGTGGGCAATTTCTCATTCCCGTTCTCGCGGACAAAGCCATTTCAACGGGCCAGGCCGAGGCCAGGCAATTCCTCTTCTCCTCGAGGCGTTGGACGTTCCGACGTTCCGATTCCGAGGCGGAAACACTCACGCCTGCAGCCGCGGAACGCGTTCCGGTAGTGCTTCAGGCAATGCCCGCCACTCGGGCAAAGTGGAGTCGACCGAAGGGAAGCCGAAGGGACCGAAAATGGGGCGCTTTTACGGCCAACCGAGGGAGCCAACGGAGCAAGGGCCAAGGGGGGCCCCGGACCGGACCGGCGGACCAGCCCGCCTGGAAGGCCTGGACCTGCACCGCTGCCGAGCCTCAAACGCCCACCGTGCTCGACCCTCCCCGGCCATGCCCCGGCCACGCCCTGGCACACCCTCGACCTCAAGGCCTCAAGGGCAGGCGGGCGGGATGCAGGGCAGGTGGGACAGCGTGGCGGGGCGTGGCGAGGCGGGGCGGGGCGAGGCGGGGCGGGGCGTGGCGGGGCGTGGCGAGGCGGGGCGAGGCGGGGCCGGGCGACGGCATAGTATGTATGAAGGACCCCTGAGATGCTGCATCAGGGCACTCCGGCGACCTGACGGTCGATTACGTAAGTGTGCCGCGGCTTGACGTGCTTGACGCGGTGCGCTGCTGCGTTGCTGCGCTGCTTCGCCCCGAGGCGGCCCGAGCCAAGGCCCGAGCAGGCACGCGCCACCATTTTCGCATAAATGAACTCGGGAGGCGAAAACAGCCCCCTGAGAAAGTCCCCTCCCCGCCCCACTCAATAAGTTTGAGGACGTCCGCGCCGCCGGCTACTGGGGTTGGGGTTCGGGCTTTGGGGAGGAACAGCGGAGCAGCTCCGAGCGAGGGCCCCAAGGGCAGGCCAGCCCGGCCGACGCCGCTGCGGCGCTGCGCAGAGTTGCCTGCGCCACGATGTAGGAACGCTCCGGTGGAAACACTGCCCGCTTCGGCCGCTCCGAAAGTGAAGCAGAAAAGCGTACGAGATAATAGTTCCGCGGATGGCCACCACGCGGCGCTCGTGTTCCCTTTAGTCCAGCTCGCGGGCTCTCCCTATGGGTGGATGCGTGTCGACTGTTATGTTGTGAAGTGTGTGCTGTTTTGTAAAGGGAACTAGGATTCGAATTATGTTCAAAAGTATTCTTTTAACCGTCCTACCAGTCGTCTCTGTCAGGACGCAACATGTCAGAGCGCCATTAATGGGTACAATCACTTTGCTGTTGGTGGCGTCTGAGTAGGCATAACATTGTTAAAATTGAATAGTTCTCAGGTTTTAATTTTCACATTAATTTTGTTAGAAAAATACATAATATGAATACCAGATAAATTTACTCCCAAAGTTGGAGGCCTCAACTCCAATTAGTTTTTGAGTAACATTCACGTAAACTTTCAGTCGTTTCTCTCAAATTCTCTTCACGACAAAGGAAAAGGACCCTAGTCATCAGATTCAGGCAATTGAAACTTCAAAGACTTAAGAAAATGATAGCGTTGGCACAATTGAAAATATAAGCTTAAAACAAGCAGTAAAACCAGTTTCCCTGGACTTATGTTCACTGATCTTCAAATTTGAGAGATTCTGTGACACTTTTATGTCATTTCTTGTTTTTCATGAAACCTAAGGGAAATTGTGTTTTAAAAAAGGGCAACGCCACCTTTTTGCTATGCCAAAAGAGATATATTTGCCAGAATCTAAAGGCTGGGAACCTTCTCCTTTGTCATGAGGAGACAAAGAGATTCGACTTAGTTAGAGTTAACGAGAACATCTGTAACTCAGCAAGTAAACAGAGGTGGAGCCCTTCTTTGCGGGTATGAGTCAATGCAAAAGGGAAGGAAAATTTTACATAAAATTAAGACTCTTGACACAAGTATTTTTAAAAAGTCAAATAGTCACTTTCTTCGATATTCAAAAAACTTAAAAGTTGTCACTTTTTATATTTTGAGTATTTCTAAAACTTAAAAGAAAGTTATTAGGACAACCAGTTAAATAGTACTTTTGTTAAAAGAACACTTCCCTGAGAAAAAAAAATCAGCAAAAGAGAAAAATACATAGCCTGCAAGGGAACCGTGGGCCGGTGCGCTTCGAGCCGGACTAAAGGGAACACATGCGCCACGCGGTGGCCATCGGCGGAACTATTATCTCGTACGCTTTTTTGCTTCAGCCACAGACGGCAGTGTTTCCACCGGAGCGTTCCTACATCGTGCCTGCGCTCTCCGCGACAGGGGCTCCCATAAACACGGTCTGGGAGGGAAGACGAGACAAACTGGCGGAAGGCGCCAGATGCTGCCCTTCCCTACCCACCGGCGCCACCTCTAACCTGGCGGGTCGGGTCGGGTCGCTTGTCACTTTGCTCAGCAAACGTGTCGCCACTAACTCCCTCCAACTCCCACAGCGAAAACACCAAAGCCGCGGTCTTCTCCTCCTTCTTCTCCTCCCTTCGCCGTGATTACGGCTGACGCATGCCGGGGCTGGCAGCGCTTGGCGCGAGCTTGGCGGGGCGGTTGGCGGGAATGTTTCTCGTAATTGGTTGGCGGCAGTGAACCGCATACTGTGGCTGTAATCCAGGAATTGCGGCCCTGGGCCTGGCCGTGCCTGGGCAGCCCCACCCCGCCCCTTTCCCCTCGAGTTAGCCAGCGTTAGCTTGGTGCCATGCTAAACCCGACCCGGCAGGGCCCCTGCCACCGTCTGGGGTCGTCCGGGCCGCCTGGGCCTCGGCCCGTGCCGAGAGGCTGCGCCGGGCTGCGCCCTGAATCACGATAAGGAGGACGGGGAGGGAAGGGGTATCCCGACCTCCGCGCCAAGCAGCGCCAAGGTGCGAATGGCGGCCCGTGCAGGCTTGTCGCCATCCGCGTTCAGCTGCGACGATCTACGGCCTCGGACACCGCTTCAGCAGTCTCGGACACCGTGTCGGCGGCCTCGGACACCGCGTCGACGGCCTCGGACACCGCGTCGACGGCCTCGATCGGACACCGCGTCGACGGCCTCAGACACCGCTTCAGCAGTCTCGGACACCGCGTCGACGGCCTCGGACACCGCGTCGACGGCCTCGGACACCGCGTCGACGGCCTCGGACACCGCGTCGACGGCCTCGGACACCGCGTCGACGGCCTCGGACACCGCGTCGACGGCCTCGGACACCGCGTCGACGGCCTCAGACACCGCTTCAGCAGTCTCGGACACCGTGTCGACGGCCTCGGAAACCGCTTCAGCAGTCTCGGACACCGTGTCGACGGCCTCGGACACCGCGTCGACGGCCTCCCGCGTCGACGGCCTCGGACACCGCGTCGACGGCCTCAGACACCACTTCAGCAGTCTCGGACACCGCGTCGACGGCCTCAGACACCGCTTCAGCAGTCTCGGACACCGTGTCGACGGCCTCGGACACCGCGTCGACGGCCTCCCGCGTCGACGGCCTCGGACACCGCGTCGACGGCCTCAGACACCACTTGGCCAGTCTCGGACACCGTGTCGACGGCCTCAGACACCGCTTCAGCAGTCTCGGACACCGCGTCGGCGGCCTCAGACACCGCTTCAGCAGTCTCGGACACCGCGTCGACGGCCTCGGACACCGCGTCGACGGCCTCAGACACCACTTGGCCAGTCTCGGACACCGTGTCGACGGCCTCAGACACCGCTTCAGCAGTCTCGGACACCGCGTCGGCGGCCTCAGACACCGCTTCAGCAGTCTCGGACACCGCGTCGACGGCCTCGGACACCGTGTCAACGTCAGCAGTCTCGCACAAAGCGTCAGGCCTCGGCCAGCGCATTAGCGGCCTCGGACATCACACCTGCGGCCTGGTCACCACACCTGCGGCAATAGGGCTCACTCGGAAATCCCCCGGGATTTTGCTCGGGTTGTGGCGGGTTGTGGCCCGGGGCGCAGCGGGGCGTAGGGGCTCACAGCGGATCGGCAGCGCAACGTTTCACGGCCTCGGCCCCTGCCGGCCAGGGCTGTGAAGGTTAACCTGTCGAGCAGGCGCAGCTAGGCGCAGCTAGGCGCAGCTTGGCGCAGCTTGGCGCAGCTTGGCGCGGCGCATTGCGGCACGCGGGCACGGCGAT